TTCATCCATCAGTAATTGTAGAGAGCTGATTTCCATTTCCATAGGCATAAATGGGGAGAAGCTGCTTCCAATTTTAGTTGAGACCGGAATTAGTGATCATTAGTATAAAATAACCACTAACAAACCCAACAATGAATTCAGTAGGGATGTCTTCACCCAGAAAGCACTGAGGAATGTGAACCTTACTATCACGGGGTGTGGTTGAGATAATTAGCATAGATAAATTTAGAGGGAAACTGGATTAAAAGGAGAGAAGGAAAAGAATAGATGATTATGTTGGTACGGTTTGAGGAATAAGAGCAGGAAGAATGTCATATAGAGCAAAAACACCAGCATGAGCCACTTGTGCCAAATAGTCATTTTCTGTACTATAAGTGCTATGTAATATTTTGTGATGTTGAAATAAATGTATCAGAAGAAGAAATTCAGTGTGGCAGCATCTCTCAAAAGGCTGTGAATGTTGTGACATATAATCAGAACAGTGAGCATTGAGAATATGCAGGAACATGAGTATCTGGTCTTCTCACCCCAGAGAGATCAATAAATCTTTTTAAAAAATTAATTTCTGAGCAACCAACAGAAATAACTAAAGGACAATATTTCATGTTTTAAGACATTTTCTGTAATAAACAAACTAAATTAACACACATCAAATGTTCCTTAACAAACAACTAATATTCCAAACTGTAAAAAAGGTACTTCTGCAAAAAATTAACTAACACGATCAAAATACCTCTACCAATTTCTTCATTACTGTATACTGTACTTCTGGCAGATATGCAGCATTACTAAAACAATTCCCAAGTTACGCCGAACAAAAACAGAAGTCGCTGGAAAAGCTCATTAGGTCTGGCAGTATCCGTGAAGAAAAATCAGAGCTAACATTTCAGATCTGGTACAACAAGGTGCAGGGCTGGATGAACACAGCAGGCCAAGCAGCATCATAGGAGCAGAGAGGCTGACGTTTCGGGCCTAGACCCTTCATCAGAAAAGGGGGAGGGGAAGGGGGTTTTGAAATAAATAGGGAGAGAGTGGGAGGCGGATAGAAGAGAGTTGCAGTGGGAGAGAGATCCCTTGAGGTTTGTCCGGAGGGAGGAGGGTAACTTCTTCAGGTTAGGCATCCTTAGAAGAGGTTTCGCAGTGGGGTTAAAATCTGGTAACCTTTTCTCAGAACTGATGGTGGCTAGGAAAATGTCAGTTTATATTCAGAAGATAGGGAGGGGGAGAGGGTGGAGGTAAGGAGTAAACGATAAGTGAGGATAGAGCCGAAAGAGAGAGAAGAGCAATTGGACAGACAAAGGAATTGATAATGATCTGACTAGGAAGGTGAATAGCTGTAAATGGCGATTGGTAGTGACTAACAATAGGTAGTGTGTAATGGCAGATTATGTGATCACAAGGCCTGGTGTGTGGGGTAGAGGGCTAGGACATGGGAGAGTTTAGGCCCTAAAATTATTGAACTCTATATTGAGTTTGGAGGGCTTCAGGGTTCCCAAGCGGAAAATGAGGTGCTGTTCTTCCAGCTTGTGCTGACCTTCGCTCGGAATACTGCAACAAGCCTGAAACAGAGATGTTACTCCGAGTTGTCCAGTAAACTCACTTCTCCCAGTCACACAGGGTCAAAAAAAAGGGTTCCTGTTTCTGTGAGTTATCGAATCAAAGTGTGAAAACCATCACTTAATTTTGATGGGGGTAAAAATTGTTTCAGAGATAGTAGGAACTGCAGATGCTGGAGAATCTGAGATAACAAGGTGTAGAGCTGGATGAACACAGCAGGCCAAGCAGCATCAGAGGAGCAGGAAAGCTGATGTTTCAGGCCTAGACCCTTCTTCAGAAA